TAAATTCAACGAGATGAAAGATTTGTCTTAATAATGTTAGGACAGAATATCACATCTGCATCTTGTACTATGAATAACCACTACAAAGACAACAATGTACAATGTATTAATTATTGTAACTGTCCTACTAACCTGTTTTGAAACTCTCTCATTGCTATTTATTTCTCAATAAAATTCATAAAAAAAGAAAATCCATTTAACCCACCTATTCCTTTACTAGATACCTTCTTGAAAGTGTCCATGACATCATATTACCGCAATGCAAGTATACCTATGTTTACAGCAGCACAATTCATAGTAGCTAAATATGGGAAACAGCCTTATTCACTTCAGTAGATGTATGGATGATGAAGAAAATATGGTATTTGTACAGCACAGCATATGTACAAAATAAACTTGAGTCATTTGTAGGAAAATGGATGTGTAATGTTAAATGAAGTAAATCAGCCACACAAGCTTAAACATCACATGGCTTCTCTTGTACAAGAATCTCAATATAGAAAGAGTGCAAATTATTAAAAAGATTTAGTAAGTGTCAAGATGGAGCTTTTCAATATGGGAAGGTGTTATGGTTTTTGTCTGGATGTCCCCCTAAACCTCATTCAGTCATTGGGATTGCTTTTCAGAAGGGACTGAATCTAGAGTTTGTGACTGGTTTTTTGCCTAATGCTGGAGTTGAGGGTGTGAGTGCTTCACACAGCCTAAAGTGAGTACTTTGCATGCAGTATAGGGGAAGAAAATAGGATCATGGCTCCACTTTTGATCTTGTTGTTTCCTGTATCTTTAGTGCCATGAACAGTTGTCCTCTGCCAAGTGCCCCTCTGCCTCGGAGCCAGTCAAAGATGGACTGAAGCCTCTACAAAATGAGATGAATAGTTTTGGGCATTGATTATTTTGTCTCAGCAAAGAGAGAAGTTACTGAGACAGAAGGGAACTGAAAGATGGATGAGGGTAGGAGGAGGGCAGGAAAGGGAAATAAGATAATAAATGGGTGAGAGATTATGGCATGGTGTATACATGCACCGAGTCGCTACAAGGGCAGTAAATGTCATGTAACACAGACATATACTTATATATGAGAGAGCCAAGTGGAGCAAGGAGGACTTTCAGAAAAACCAGTTGAAAGATGTCCTGTACATGTACCATCTCCCCGTGATGAGCATAACCATAATGTACCAAACATATCTTTTTAAAAATAATTTTATTGAGAAACAAATAGCAATGAGACACTTTCATAACCGATTACTAGCACAGTTTCACTAATAAATACATTGCATATTGTTGTCTTAATGGTTGTTCATTGTACAAAATGCAGACATGATATCCTGTCCACAAACACTGTTAGAACAAATCTCTCTCTATTCATTGAATTAAGAGAATGCAGCTGTATATCTATCCTATTTTGAATATACAGATACAAAATGGTTGTTCATTTGTAGCCCCTTTTTATGTTTAGGTTTGTCAGAGAAGGGTGTTCCATTGTCATTTAAATATTGTAGGTGGATGAATTCCGCAAAATAATCCAATATAGTCCAGTTGTCCATAACAGTACTGGGTTATCTGCAGGACTGGCAATGTCAGAAGTTGTTGAGCCTTTTACAGCTCAGCATGTTAATATGGCTTTACTTTTTATACTTCATTTTTATGCTTTTCTGCTGAATGGTTAAGACCAAGATAAAGCAAGACCTATATAACAAGAAATGTAACTTCTTTATCTGACAAGGTCAGTCAAATCCCATCAGGATTTACCCTGAAACCCTGTACCACACTTTGTAGATCTTTTGTCAGTATGAGCTATGTAGATGAGTCACAGCCATTACTTGACCAATTTACTCTCTGTTAAAGCCTGCATATCAACCAATAAACAAGTATTAGAAAACAATAACAATAACAAACAATAAAAAATAAATAAAACATGAAAAAATAATAAAGTTAAGCCCAGTGTGTATCTCTTCATCTTCAGTTTACCAGAAAACACCAAGTAGAAGCAACTCTGTTGGATAGAAAAGGATAGTAAATAGTGTAGTGAATGTATTTCTCTACTACTAAGTAAAAATGGTTTCAAATATTAAACCCTCTTTCTACAATGGACATGCATCCTTCATGTTTGTAGACATTGTAGAAAGACTACCGCCTGGAATAAATATGGCTGGCTTGACACTGGAGCCGCACCCATGCCTCGAAGTGTGATGACTCTGATTATGTTAATTCCCCGGGTAGGTTGTCATCACAGAGGAAATTCAGAGTTGTCACCAGTGTTTGACAGTGAGGCATGAATGATTCATAAGGGGCTCTGTACGATTTCTTTATTTCACACACAGGGATTGTTCTTAAACACAAAGTGTAAATCTAGTCCTGGATTAGTTCTGAGGCATCTCTGTGAGTAGAAGCCACCACCTGTCACTGGATTTGCATGGACATTTGCAGATTTAGAAGAATTTCACAAGGTCAGGAGTGCAAAAGGTCATGTTCACTTGCATTACCTTCAGCCCAAAACTAATTATATAATTATGAATTTTTAATTTCTTTGTCATAATTGTTACTAAAATTAAACAATTACATTTATTTATAATCCAAATGTACTGTATCATACATTTTACAAATCTTTAGAGAAATTACATATAATTTTAAAAAGTTATGGGCATGGGGCTGGTGAGATGGCTCAGTGGTCTAAAGCACCTACTTAGAACAAGCTTAGCAAAGCACATGAACCGCGGTTCAATCCCCCAGCACCACATGCCAGCCAGCCCCGCCCCCTGGTGGGCTGAGCTGGCCACACACTCTCTCTCTCTCTCTCTCTCTCTCTCTCTCTCTCTCTCAATAAAATAAATAAACTTAAAAAAAAGTTATGGGCACTAGATATATAGTTCAGTGGCATAATTGCCTGCCTGGCAAGCTCAAGATCCTGAGTTCAATTACTGGTCAAAAAAAAGTACATATATGGGGATAGGAAAAGTGGTATTCTAGATTGGTATTAAACTGTAAAATTGGGATAGTGATAATTAATGCATAAATTGTTAAAATATTATTATTATTATTAACATCATCATCATCATCGTGGTACTGGGGATTGAACTCAGGGCCTTGGGCTTGCCAGGCAGGAGCTTATGTCCTTGAGCTGTCTCCTCAGCCCAACTATTTTTATTACTAACAAATTACATTTTCCCCAGAATTTACAGGGAATGTGCATCACAAAACTTAGAAAAATCTTTGACTTAACCACTTTGACAAGTGCCTTTGAGCAAAATATTTTGTAATGCAGAAATTTTGGCCTATTTGTGTCTGACATACTTTTAAGAGGTGGTGAGTGCATCAGCTTTGTAGCAAATCAAAGCTTCCCCATGTAGAAATTTTGCATTATGCATATATTAATATAACTTTTCCCCACAACATTGTGTAAGGACTTTCTTTTCTCCACATGCACACTAACGTTTGTTAGCATTAGTATTTTTTATAATAGTTGTTGTTACTATAATACAGCAATTGCTTATTTTGGTTTTCTTTTTTTTTTTGTATTTCTAAAATTTTATTTTAAAGAGAAAAACAATGAAAAATATGACACAAAATTTCAAAACAATAGGGAATTGACAATGGTTAATATATTATGTATTGTTAACTTCACAGTAGTTGATCAGATTATGAGACATAGGCATGAAAAATTGATCAAACAATGCAAGCACAAACCATTCTTTTCAATGAACTCATATAGTAGTACAATTATCTTAGCTATCATATGTATTTTTGTTTTCTTTTCCCTTCTTTTCTTCCTCATCCCAGTGGTTCTTTCCATTTGAGCAGTTTCTTCCCTTTTCATAATATGCCAAACTAATTTCTTAAAACTAGAATAATGCTGTGATTATAACCAGCCAAGGGTTAAAAATAAACCAAAGAAACACTACAGGTTAATTTCCTTAATGATCAAAGATGTAAAAACATCAAGGTAATATTTGAAAGAGAATGTAACAAATCCTTAAAAAGATCATTCATCATGAACAAGTGAGTTTTATTCCATGGACACAAGAGTGAGTCAACATGTTTGCATTCCATGATGATTAGAAATGTGGAGCATTTTCGTATGCCTAATGGTCATTTGTAAGTTTTCTTCTGATCAATGTCTGAGTCTATTGTACATTGTTGTATCGGGTTATTTATTTCTTTGTTATTGAGACAGTCTGGATATTAACCCTTTGTCAAGATAGATAGATAGATAGATAGATAGATAGATAGATAGATAGATAGATAGATGAGGAATAGATGGATAGATAGGCAAAATATTAGTTGCCACTTGGTAGTTTTCTACAATGTGTAGCTTATTTTCTTTGCTCAGCAGGACATTTTTCTCTTTCTACTTCTCTTGTTTTGTAGTTATATGTCTTAATTTCTGTGTGTGATCCATTTGATATTATTATTTTAATAAGTGAGAGATGGTTTAAATCTTCTACATATAGCTATGCAATGTCCAATTTAACCATTGCGGTTTATTGAAAAGACTATCTTCTTTCGTCTGTACATTCTTATTGTGTTTGTCAAAAAAAAAAGTTATTTGGATGTAAGTACAAAAATTTTATTTCATGATGTTTATTTTGTTTCATTGATCTCCATATCTGGGCTATGCCAATATCTTCTATTGTTGATTACAGCTTTGTAATACATTTTGAAGTGAAGTAATGTAATTCTTCCTGGTATGAGGTTGTGGTTCAAGATAGTTTTAGGTGTTTTGAGTTTTGGTGGTACACAAAAAATTTAGGCTTTCTCTTTTTTTTAAAATTGCCACAAAGAATATCAGCATTGCAATGATATTGGACTAAATCAGGAGATCATTTTCTGTAGCCTGAGTATTTTGCACTCAAGGTGTTTTGCTTTCCGTGTCTCCTTTTCAAAGATTTTTAGCAGTGTTTTCATTTAAAAGATTTTTTCACAACTTTAGTTATGCATATTCCAAGCATTTTATTATTATTACATTATATTTTGTTGTAATTATATTATATATGAGATTGATTGTGCTCACTGAGACAGTACATGCACTAAAATTGGAAGTATACAAAGATTAGCATGGCCCCTGCACAAGGATGACATGCTAATTCATGAAGCATTCCATATTTTTAATTTTTTCTTTTTCAGAACCGGGGATTGAACTGAGGCCCTTGCACTTGCCAGGGAAGTGCTTATTCCACTGAGCCATCTCCCCAGCCTCTCCATATTTTTAAAATAAAATGAAATAAAATAAAAAGACTGATTTGACAGTCTTTTGAGATAATTCAGTATTGGCCTGCATACTAATTTATATCCTAAAACTTTTCTGAATTTATTTTCACTTATTTTTTTATACTCTTTGGGAGTTTTATTCATTTATTTCTAATTGGGAAGGACTTTTTTGTTTGTTTGTTTCTTATTCCTGAATCTTCTAGATGGGATTTCCAGCATTATATTTAAGAGAACAATGAAAACAGATGTCCTTACCCTGTTCAACACCATAGGACATGCTTATGTTTTCCTCATTTAAAATGAAATCATCTATTCATATGTTATGAATGTATTATTGTTATTATTACTATTATTAATTATTAATTTGGTACCGGGGATTGAACTCAGGACCTTGCATTTGCCAGGCAGGCACTTCAGCCACCAAGCTACCTCTTCAGCCCCACAAATGTATTTTCAATGCCAAAGAATAGATCTTCTATAGATTCCTGAAGCAAATTTTTATGATTGGTCTCCATCCATTGAGATAATCATATGGTTCTCTTTTTTATGCGATTTTGGTGGCAGATCATAAATATATTTCTTCACAAATGTTAGAAAATAGATGTCTGGAATCTAATTTATTTTCTCACTGTGAATGATCATCAAAACATGTGCTGGTTGTTGACTTGCAGGTGTTATTTTGACAAGGTTTGCATCTGTGTTCATCAAGAATATTGGCCTCTACTTCTGCTTTTGTGATATTTTTATCTCCCATTGTTTTGTTTTAATTAGGGCAGTGTTGGCCTTCAAGGTCATGTTTTTAAGAATGTTCTCTTTTTTAATTTTTGGAGTCATTTAAGCATAACTGGTGTTAGTTCTTGTTTAAGTGTTTGATATAATTTGCCAGTGGAGACATTTGGTTCTTTTCTTTTCCTTTCTTCCTTTTGGAAGAGATATTACATTTCTGATTCAAGTGTATGCTCTTTGTCATTCTGTTCAGATTTTTTATTTTGCATAATGAAATCCTGGTAAGACATGTACAGCCCGGAATTTATTCCTTTTTGAAGGTTATCATGTATCACTGAAGTTAATCATAATAATCATTCAGCAATCCTTTGTATTTCTGTATTATCATTTTTTAATGTGTACCCTTTTCATTTCTGATTTTATTTATTTGAGTAGTCTATCTTTTTCTTAATATAATGAAGAGTTTTCTATTTTGGTTGTATCATTGAAAGCCACATATTCAATTCTTTTGTGCTATGTGTTTACTCCTGTTTAGTTCTGGTCTTACCTTTATAATTTATTTAAATGACATTTAACTTTTCTTGTCCTTGTTTTGCTAGTTCTTTCAAATGTACTGATGTGTAATTTGCTGGAGCTCTTTCCATTCTTTGATGGAAATACTGGTTCTTATGGCCTAAAACTCCCAGAAATCCTCCTGCTTCAACTTCCCCAGTGATAGACTTGTAACTATGCCTCACC